AAATCTCAAATATCAGAAAGTTAACTGTAAGGAATAGACTTCATTTCTCAATGATCTTTAAAAATAAAAAATTCTCTAGCATTAACTTATTTTTTAAAGCTGGTAATTTTATTTAATTATGATAATTATGCTCCTTCAGATAATTATCTTCTTCACTCAGAGAAAATGCAAATAGTTATGAATTGAAGGTAAAATTCTACTGTGAACTATTTTTTTTTCCTGTGCAAGCTGACATTTCCTCATTGTAAGAGATGCTGTGGCCTATAATTGATAGCTTGACTGTGTTTCATGTTCAGGATGAGCTAGACAAATGCAAGGTAGCACTGGGTGTCACAGCAGGGAAACTGACGTTTCTTTCTTAGACATGATACTGCATTTATTCTAGAATCTCTTCTATACCTTATGTTCAGATATAGGAAAATAATACTGCTCGGTGGAAGAATACTATTTGCAAAGTGTAATCGCCCTTGCCTGTCTGAAATGCTTCAAATGATACTTATTTTTCTTTATCTAGACCTAAATTGGTTTTCATACACTTTGAAATTAACTCACATTCATTTTAGTATCACTTTCTTTAAAGAAAAGCAAAACCCGGAAATTCATGTAGTATAGTTTTGGAAATTAAGATAAATTTTTCCTATTAATATGATTGACTCTTACCAACCTCATGTGGCCTACAGGTTGTTTTAAAATTCTGTTAATATAATAGTTTATTAAAGAATATTTTAAAAATACTGTAAAAACTATAGCAAAACACCTCATAGTTACCTAGATAAGAGATAATGGTATATATAGTAGTGGAAATGGAGAGGATTCCAATTCTGTTTGTAGGTAAAACCTAGCAAGTAGGTAAAACTTAAGCAAGCTGACATGAATTAGGTGTGATTTGCAATGAAATGAAATGCAGTAAAATTTAATAGCTCTAGCTTCATTTCTGCAAACCACCTTTCAGTTGCTCATCAGCCACACATGGCTCGGGCCTACCTAGCTGGACAGAGCAGGCAGAGTGTCTCCCCTGCCACGGAAGGTCTTTTGGACAGCATTGCTCTTCAGAAAGACTCCCGCTCCAGCCCTTTGAAATGGCCTTACAAGATTCCTTTGAGGATATACTACCGTCTCTTTCTGTTTCTCACTTCTGAAACCTGGATCTCTTAGATTCTCCAAGTCTCTTTTTCCTGTCATATTTTGATTATCTCTGTATTTTTCCTACTTTGTGAAAGATTCCTTTTACCTACAGACCTTTCTATTGTACTTCATATGCACCCTCAAATGTTTAATTTTCAAGAATTCTTTTTTCTCAGATTTTTCCTTTATAATGGCAACTTTTTTTTTCTTTCTTTTTTTTTAAATTCAGTGTCTTTTCTGAGGAAGCCAATTCAGGGTTTGTTGTTTTATTTCAGACTTTTAGTAAGAATTAAAACAATAATTTAGAAATATTTTAAAAAGTTATTATTTTAATTAAAATACTAATTTGAATTTAAATAGATGGAACAGAATAATTAAAATTGTTTCTTTTTCCGGGGCGGCCCCATTTCCTCGTCTGTCTGAGACCACATTTTGTGCTGGAATATTTTCTTAAATGTCTGGTAATCCTTTATTATATGTATCACTTAAAAACTTCACTGAAAAGCAACTTGGGAATTTTGCAAATGCCTCAGGACTTACTGCCTTGCAGGTTTTTCTCTGGGGACTTTTTAATGCTTAAATCCCTCTGATTGTCAGGAAGGAGTAAAGAGTGAGAGTTGCTCTTCTCTTTACTGTGTTTAAGTTAATCCCTAACTTTATTCCTCATCTTCCTTTCATATTCCATGGTAGTTGGTGTTTCGGAGGCTTAAACTGCTGGAATTCTGCAGGGTTGGTTGATTTCCTTCTTGGTTGGCAGCTGTAGCTCCATCCTTCTTTCATAGATGCTGTTCTACTTATTTATTTGTGTACTTATTTGTGTACTTATTTTTAATTGAGGTGATACTGGGATATGCCCATCATGCATTGCCACTATAGTACATCCCCATCAGCTCACCCGTATCCCTCTCCCCTCCTTGGTGTTTCAGTGTAGTCAGCTATCAAGGGTTAGTTTTCAACTAACTTAAGTCTTTATGTGACTGCTAATTTAGTTGCTTTTCATTCTCATTCTACTTATTAGTGACACCAAAAAGTATATATCTTAATCCTTTTGACTTACTTCACTTAGCAATATCCCTTCTAGGTCCATCCACGTTTCTGCAAATGGCATGAGTTTATCTTTTTTGATTGCTGAGTATTATTCCACTGTGTGTATGTACATATACCACATTTTCTTGATCAGCTCATTTGCTCTGGGGCACTTAGCTTGTTTTGGTAATTTAGCTGTAGTAAATACCACTGCAATAAACACAGGAGTGAAGGTTTCCTTTCAAATTACTTTTTTTGAATTTTTGAGTAGTTGCTTAGGAGTGGAATTGCTGGGTCAAATGGCTGATGGGGAGAGACCTCTGTATTTTTTTTTTTTTTAATAGCGGCATGTTTTTATTTATTTATTTGTTTGTTTGTTTGTTTGTTTTGTTTATACAAGCACTGGGTACAGTCAGAAGCACGGGAGGGTGAGAGAATTCACCAGAGCCAGAGCGGGGAGCAGAGCAGGCAGAAGGATCCAAGTACACTGCTGAGGGGAGCAGCGGGCGGCAGGAGATGTCTGCGCGCCATGTGGGACCCTCCTCCTGTGGCCGGGGAGCAGCCGGGGATCAGCCGGGGATCGAACCGGCGCCTCAGTGGCCGCAGGCAGCTTCGCAACCCAGCGCTCAACGCTGCGCCACCGGGGAGGCCCTCACCTCTGTATTTTTTTCCACAAGGGCTAGAACAGTTTGTATTCCCACCAGCAGTGTAGGCAGACTCCCTTTTCTCCACATCCTCGCCAGCACGTGTTGTTTCTGGTCTTTTGGATCTAGGCCATTCTCACAGGTGTGAGATGGTATCTCATTATGGTTTTGATTTGCATTTCTTTACTCATAAGTGATTGTGAATATTTTTTTCATATGCCTGCTGGCTGTTTGAATGTCTTCTTTGGAGAAGTGTCTGTTTAGTTCTTTTGCCCATTCTTTCAGTGAGTATTCTATATCAAGAATTTTTTCTTTAAATCTTGGGAAAATTAAGTTTAAAATTATGGTATTTATTCAGCATTCAATTCTTCTGTCAAATATTTATCAAGGGCTTTATGTCCTGGGCAGTGTATTAGGAGCTAGGAATATATAAGTAAGGCACCTAGTTTTTGCCTTGAGATCTTTACATTTCCTTGACATTTTAATTTAGGTCAAGGTTACATTGCCCTTTCTTGGAGCATACAAATGTAGCCCTAAAATATTTTCAAATTAACAGAGGAATGCAAACATTTCCAAAAAATCAATTTTGTGAATAAATCAGTAACTTTCATCATATGTGAGAATTTATAGTTGAAGAAGATGTAAAGTAGTGTAATTTAGTGATAATTTAAACCATTAAAAATTTGTAATTGCTGAAGATTCTACAAATCCAGATGTCCAGAAAGGAGATGTGATTTAACTCAGAGACTATATAGCCTGATGGTCCAGATTTTTTTTTTTTTTTTTTTTTTGCTGCTTGTTCTTGGTTTTTAGAAAATTAAATTTGACTAGTTTGAGTGCCAGGCATATATTCTCTAGTTCATCACAGCATAATTCCTGCAGGCATTAGTATTTGCTACTCTTGGTTTAAATAAGTGAATAAATAAAATTATAGCTTTTAATTATGTCATAATAATGTTTTCATGACATAGAAAGATATCTGTGATGTTTTTATGAGAAATTACCAAGCTGTATATCATATGATCTCATTTAAATAAATGTATGTTTATAGGCACATAGAGAAGGATACACATATGACGTGGGTTTCCTACTTCTAATCATGTTAAGTGGATCACTGTATATCTGTGATCGAATGATAACAATATGATCCACTGGTTTTAGAATTTCCCAACAATCTTTCACATTTTATTGATCATTGTTGCTTAGATTCAATTTCATTAGAAACTGGTGATTTCTATATTGGTGATTTAAAAAATTCTTTCAATTTCTTTTGTATTCATTTTTCTTCTATAGGAGAGAACTTTTTCCTCATCAATTATTTGATTACCTAAAAGAAAGATTACCTAAAAAAGGCAGGATAAATGATCGATTTTCACCTTTGTTGGTCAATGTCCAGTCATGAGTTGGTACCTTAGAAGGTCCCAGTGATGACCCCTCCCTTGCCCCCTTTGTTTTGAATGTCATTATGAATCAGGTATTGTTATATATATTTGAGTTTTTTATTAATTGTAGTCATTATACTTTTTGACACATCATTCTATCTTTGGCCATAGAAGCTCCTTTGTGTTGGTATCTGTGTTCTTTTTACATAATGACAGTAATAGGGGATAGCCTTTTTGCTTTTAGGTATGACAAGATGTCTGGTTCGTTTCACACATTTTCTGCCCTTGACCAGAAATCACTTATTTCTCAGAGAACTGTGGATGAGACCAAAGTCTAGTGCTAAAGATGCTCATTGCTGCTGAATACTTTACCTCTTGAAAGAAAAATAAGTCATGCCTTCATACTAATATTTCCAAGTCAAAGGATTATAGGGTTTTAAATATTTGTTCCTTTTCTTTTTGATTAAATATTGCAGTTCCTAATGATTAACAGAATCAGGAATTCAGGATTGTATGATTTAGGGAGGAGAAAATATAAAGAATAAATTGATTGAAGAAAGGAATACATGTTCTGAATTGAAGACTTAAAAGAAGATAAGCAGTGAGTCCAATCAGCAGTACTTACATTGGGCAGGAGGAATCATATCTTGCTGTTAAGTCTCAGGGAATAATAAATTGGGAGGTTGTGAAGTCTCGGACTTAGTTAAGTCTAGAATGGGTAACTGTTATGGATGGTGTGATTCCACTGACTTGTGACTATAATTTTCCCATTTAAAAAAGGAGGTGCATGTGACTTAATGAAATGCCCTTTTTCTTTGTTTAGTATGAACCCAGAGGACCTGGTCGGCCCTTGTACCAAAGAAGAATCTCATCTAGCTCAGTCCAGCCTTGTTCTGAAGAAGTAAGCACTCCTCAAGATAGTCTTACTCAGTGTAAAGAGCTTCAGGACCACAATAACCAATCTTCTTTCAACTTTTCATCCCCGGAGTCCTGGGTAAACACCACCTCATCTACCCCCTATCAGAACATTCCGTGCAATGGATCCAGCAGGACAACTCAGCCCAGAGAGATGATAGGTAAGACAATTTTAACTGCTCAGTTCCCAGATATCGATGGGTTTTTTCCTGTCCCATCCGCTGCCCTTTGCGTTATCATCTGTGAGCAATATTTAACACGCATGGCTCAGTAGATGTGTCTCAGACATTCATACTGATGTGGAACTACATCAATTCCATCTTTATGATTTGCAAGGTAAATGGATCTACCCATATTTGGAAACTGAGCATTTTGATCTGTGAGTGAATAAAAGAAGTAAATGGCACTTAAAACGTGTTTCTAAATAGATAGAATCACCTTTGCTTGGGGAATTTTTGTTTTCTGTTTTCTTTGGGTTGGGGTTTGGTTAGGTCAGTGTCAGTTTCCAAGGACTTACTGTGAGTAGTTGACGTTTGCTATATGATGCACGTTGGCCATGAGAGAAACCAGAACAATCTGATATTTTGAGATTTTGAAATTTTGTGTTTATTCCTTATATGCTAAGGAACTTAGAAATTCAAGGCTACAGAGGAGAAAAACATAGAAAGGCATAGGAATGGTGAAGGCTGTAAAATTGGATGCAAAGTCTAAAGTCTTTCTCTTTTGCCTGGAGTGCATTTTTATCTTTCCTTTGTTCCCTCTTATCTTTTTATGTTTATTATAAAGAAATGAATGACTATTTGAGTTCTGTAATCTGTAGCCTTTTCTCTGTCAGCCATGGACATTGATTTTTGTGAACAAGACACTGATTTTTGTTTGGTGAATTTCTGCCCTGGTAGCATCAACCTTTGTATTTGAAATTAATTTTGTTCATCTTCTATTAGAATGTGAATCCATTGTTTCTGTAACTGACCCATTTTTGAGCATGTGCCAGAGAAGCATATTTTTAGAACAATAGACATAGGGCAACACATTAAAGAGATTTTGGGTTTATTTCCTGGCAGAAGACATTGTCATTTTAATCTTTAAACATTCATTAGTACCTACTATGTATAAATGGCTCTATTTTGCCTGGTAGTTGAATTTCCTGAGAAATATCTAACTTACAAATTGTCATGAAAAGTTGTTACTTTTTAGTTGTTTTATTGTAATTTTATTTATTTATTTATTTTTTAAGATTGATTTATTTATTTATACAAGCACTGGAGGGTGAGAAGCGCAGGAGGGTGAGAGAATTCACCAGAGCCAGGGCGGGGAGCAGAATAGGCAGACTGATGCAGAAATACACTGCTGAGGGGAGCAGCAGGCACGGCAGGAGAGGTCTGCGTGCCATGTGGGACCCTCCCCGGCGGCTGGGAATCGAACCAGTGCTGCAGAGGCTGCAGGCAGCTTCACAGCCCAGTGCTCAACCGCTGCGCCACCAGGGGAGGTCCTGTAATTTATTTTAAAGACAAGACCATATATCTTTTCTTTTCCCACTTATCTTTTATGGTAAATTTTGGCCAAAATCAGTAAAAATCTAACTTGAATTGAAACAGTAAAGGGTTCCTTAAATGAATGCCCAAAGTGCATGTCATTTGCGGTGTCTTTTTCAAAAGTATAAAATTATTATTATTTTTTTTTTGCTAGAAACAAATTGTAATGTTCTTTGATTGAAATTAATAGTTCAGTATTAAAAATTCACTCAAAAGTTCACTCAAAAAATTTGCTGAAAAGTTGAGATTATATGGAGATAGGTGTTTTGAATTTGAAGAATATCATTGTCATATTAATAAAATTTTAAACAATTGTCATCTGGAATATAAATGATGAATCAAATTAATAAAGATCTTGAATTTATGGTTGAATAAGAACATAGGCATTAGGTAGAACTGCCTCTAAAATACTATTTTGTAAGTATTGCTTGATTTAAAACATTTTAAGCTTAACTATATTGTCATGAAATTGAGAGCATGGTTAAATGATAAACTTAGTAAACTAAATAAAAATAGTAAGTTTTTGATCATGTAGTAAAATAAAATGTTTATGTATTATGTAGCACAGGCCACTTTATACTGAAACGTCTGATAAAAGGACACTCTTAAAAGTAGTTGTTTTCATTCACAAAATCAGTGACCTTCACACGGAAAGTGATAAATTTTCTAGAAAGATAAGTGGTTTATAATAATTTCAGCAATTTCATGAAGTAAAATTACTTCCATCTTTTTTTAGTAAGACCAAAAAATGAAATGTTTTCACTGTATGCTCCAATCCACAAATAGGTAATAAACAGGAAAATATGTCCATAAACACCAGTAATCAAGGAAATGCAAATTAGAACTAGAACAAGATAATTATTATATTATCATCATCATTAGTATTAAAAATAGCAACACCAATGTTGTGACGGAGCAGGGAAATGGCAGACATTGTTGGTTGGGTGCGAGCAGTGTCTTCCCGCAGGAAAGTTGGGCCATAGTTACTGAAAGCCTTGAGGTCACAGCTGTATGTCTCAGCCAAGGACTTCCGGGTATTTATCCTAAGAAAATAGTCATGAATATTTAGAAATATTTATTTATAACAACTTTTATCATAGTCTTTAAAGGTGAAGAATTGACTATAACCCACATTTCTAAAAATGAGAGGTTATTTAAATGAGTCATAAAATATTCTATATAATATGATGTTCATAGGGGAAAAATACACCAGTGAGTTATGATATCTGGGAATATGAATGACTTACTTTCTTCTTTAGCCTTTTCTTTAATTTCAAATTATCTTCAATGAGGATGTATCATGATTATAATCCAGCACAGTGTTAAATTTTTAAAAGATTGAAGATTAAAAAGTATGCTTGAAATCAAGTTAAGACTTAGTGGGCAATAAAATCAGGAAAGGTTGGGTCCAATTTTGAAGCACCTTGAAAGTCAGGTATATTGTAGGAAAATGTAAAGGAGCTTGTACCTCTGTGGTGGTAGTTTTTTTTTTTTTTTTCCCCCCTCTTTTACTCCATTTTCTTACATATGTGTTACAGGAAAAGCTGGTATTTTTAACAAATCAAATCCAGTGCTGCTATGAATTAGATTAACAATAGTCTACTTTGACCAGAAGTCTACATATACCAGTGATTTAAGAAAGAACATGTTTGGGCTCATTTTCAAACTATGATCAGTTAATGTAACAAATATCAACGTGTACAATTGTTCAAGTCATTTTTTTTCAAGCAGCTCTTCAAATCTGACCTTTAGTTTTTAGGTTAGCTATTCTAGTTTGCCTGGTTAATTCTTTTATGAGCATGTATAAGATAGAAAAGTTTGGGTAGGTGTGTTGTGATGTCAACATTCTGTGGCATAAGTTGTCTGTCCTGTGGCTGTGGCACCGCTGAGCTTCTCAGGATGAGAACTGGTTAAGAAATGCTTGAGTATCTCTGGAATGGCCTTCAATCAGTGTTGCTGTTTCTGCTTTTAGCTCCAACGAAGACCTGCAAAACCCCTGAGGATCAGTTGAAGTCAGAAAACCTCGAGGTGTCCAGTTCCTTCAACTATAATGTGCTGCAGCATCTTGGCCAATTCCCCCCCCTCATGCCCAACAAGCAGATCTCGGAGTCGGCCAGCAGCAGTAGCCAGCAAAGCTCCGGGGCCAGCAAGCCCGCCATGTCCTATGCCAGCGCGCTGCGGGCCCCGCCCAAGCCCAGGCCCCCGCCGGAGCAGGCCAAGAAGAGTAGCGACCCTCTGTCTCTGTTCCAGGAACTCAGCCTGGGGAGCTCGTCGGGCAGCAATGGCTTTTACTCCTATTTTAAATAATCACTTTTTTTTCCTCAAGGGAGAATGTTTTAATTTCTGTTTGTATCCATAGAATTAAGATAGTTGGACTTCATCTATAGATGCACAGTTCCCTTTGTTTTAATATTAAATCTGTTCTCACTTAATTGCTTTGCTGCTAGACTTGCAACTAATTTTTTAAAAGTATATTCCATTATTTTGCATTTTTGATGTGTCGGAATTTTGACAGCTTTTATGTAGAATAAAAAATATTTTTAAATTTGTGTATTGTTACATATGTTTGCATCAAGCTAGCAGCTAAGAGGTTAATTGTGCAACTATAAAAAAAAAAAAGAAAAAAAGTTTGTCTAAAATGTATTTAAAAAGAAAAAAATTGTAAGTAGCATTTACATTTATCCAATAATATTACCATATGCTGGGTTTCTGTACCAGAAATGGCCAGTTGATGTACAAATGTATGTTATTTTTGCTTAAATTCATTTAAAATTTTTTAAAATAAAGGGGCAGCATCTTCTAAATACTTTTAAGTTTTATCAGCTTTTTTTTTGTGACAGGATGCTGCATTCTAAAACTTTTCTAGTTTTAGACTGACGTGCTGTCCTCATCTCCAACCACCGCAGGGGAGAGTTGAAGGCATTCTTCGCAGGTGTTTTGTATGCCTCTGTTCTTTGGTAAAGTGGAAAAACATTGGCATACTTAGTTATTTTTTTGGACAAGCTGAACTTCAAGCTTGTTTTTAATGTTAATTTGATAGTGTGTTTTTTTTTTAAACAAATCATGAAGCTGAAAAATTTTTAGGATCGTTGGTGCTTAGTAGACTTGATAACTATTTTAAAAATGCGTGAATTTAGTAAAATCCTTTTTTCCCTCACTATGCATGTGTAAATGTTTGTAATCTGGCTCCCTCCCCACCTACCGGTATAAGGAATTGTGCCGCTTTAAGATTTTTTTTCCCCTCCAGTAAAAGTTTTGGTACCTTATTTGATGTTTACATTAAAACGTGACATTATACATGGCAATTCAAATATTTTGCTAACTTTTGTTTGAGGAACATCATTAAAGAAGAACTATAATGTTTGTGAAAGATGTATCAAAGTCCATCAAAATCCGGGGCAAAAGCTACCCTTGTTTTTTCTGTTTTTTTTTTTTTTTTTTTTTTCTTTCAGTTCCTCTAATATAACCCCACTGAACTTGTACACAAATATAAATTTAAATAACTATCTTAAATATTCTATGATCTAAAAGTTGTTTTGAATGAGCTTTGGTAAAATCCAAAGGAAAATGTTCACCCTATTAGTGTCTTTAACCCTCTGAGCATGCATGTCTGTTTCCTAATCTGGTAGTTCTACTTTTATACTTTAGAGAGATCTTGAAGCTCCAATATAACCTTTTTTTTTTTTTTTTTTTTTTTTTTTTTTTTTTTAATAAGGCAATGTTGGGAAACATTACAAATGAACCAATGGGTCCTGATAATACTTTCAAAAATAGTTTCTTGAAAGACTGCTTCTGAATAGGTCATCCTGTGTTCACCATACATTTTTAAAATGGGGTTGAAAAGCTACAGGGGTAAAGAAAATTGCTTGCATCTCTGTCTGCCTGGAATGTCGCTGAGGTTAGCCAGCTATAACCCCTGTAATCCTCAGACAGCTTAGGATAAGAGAGTGCCTTTAGTCGAAGGTCAGAAGCTACAGGACAGATGAGAGCGCCTCTTTGTTCGATTCCATCTTTCTGCTCGGAGCACAGCTCATTGGTCTGTGGCTTCATGTTCCAGCTGCAGGTCGCTGTGTGAGGTGACATATTCGGACCTGCAGCTGCAGGCGTGTTCATGGTCCCTGTCAGTCAGCTGGAAAATGGAGCCAGCCTGTCACAGCACCATGCTTTCTCAGAATGGTGTCAGGTCTCCACATTTAACTGTGTCACACTTTGCCTAATACGCTTTTGTCACAAGAAGGGAATAAAAAATGTTGTCATATCGTAGGTGATATTTCCAAGTCTGTGAGCAAACCAAATGAAAATGAGATCTCCCTGATGTGAGGATGTCTGTAAAATAATTTTCTCATCAAGGCACATTCTCCTCCGTCACAAATTGACAGGACGACCACACAAGCGAGACAAATGTTCAAAGACATTTTGATACTAGGAAGACAGAGCTGTTATGTCAGTTCTTGTAGTTAACCTCTAGTGATAAAGTAATTACCTAACTTCCTGTTTCCCAGACTTGAACCTTCAAAACATATCAGTTTTTAAATTATTTATATTTAAAAAGGCCACGTGCATACATACCCTACCACCTTATATCAATACAATGATAGTGGAGGCTTTGTATGAGGAAGTTTTAAAGTTCTTGTGACATCTCTGTTCCAAGCAGTTATTACTTTAAAAAAAAAAAAACTAACTAAAAATAACAGCTTCTCATTAGTCCACTGCTGCGGTGAGCTCATTTTCTTATTGTCTCTACAGCCAGTCAAGGATCTGGATGTTTCCTCTGACACTCTCTTAGGTTCTGCTTCCAATGCAAATGTCATTCCCTAGGATGCTTACTCTTTTTTTGGCATCCCTTAATGCCATCTCTCCAACCCTTCTTTAAATCTGTTGTTTATGAATAATATAACAGTTTGGGATAAGTGTAATTACAAGAATTAGTGCAAGTTGTCATTGAAATGAGGCATCACTTTTGAATATCATTCATGCCATTTGCCCATCACTTGGGTAGTATTATTAAATGCCCCCAAATCAGGCTTCGAAAAGTTTTCAAACACCAGGTTCAACCTTGGAGGTCAGATGAAACTTTTTTTTTTTTTTTAAACTTACTGTTAGCTCTTGGATAATACCAAGTATTACCAACTTCCCTTTCTTCCAGAAACAGATTCCTAAGTGAGGTTAATTGTTCACATGATGTGTTTCGATTTCTTTGTTCTTTGAATCATTCTGAAGTTTTCTTTTTCTTGCCAGAACTAGTTTTTATTCATTTCACTTCTTAATTTCAGTGCTACTGAAAATTTTCTCTCTCTCTTTTTTTTTTATAACCTTAAAGAAATTCTTTTGGGTGATAAAATTTGTGCGTATTCATGCTGATTTTTTTTTTCCTGATCTAAAAATGAATTTAAGATCTGAGGAGCCTCATTCAGTGGGATGAGGATATTTTCCGGTTATATGTTTAGAAGGGGGTTTGGTTGCCATTTGGCATGTGCTTTTCCAAATTGTTAGAGCACAGCCTTGTCTTTGATGCATCAGTAGTTAATTATTGACCATTTAAACTAACATGACCTTAATTTTCCTTCCCTCACACAGGTATGCTTTCTATCCAGATCATTTTATATGTGAAGTAACAAAACTGTTTTGTGTGGTTTTTCTCACCAGAGAGTCTAGAATAAGTTCAGGTTCGGTGTAAATATCAACTAGTCTTTTCAGTTCAAAGAATTGCAGAATAAGTAAGATAAGCAGAATTCCCACTGCATAGCATTACCTGATTAAACACAGCAGTCTCCAAGACCTATTTGTGAAAATCGGCTCCTTATTTGTGGAGGCATTGAAGTTGCTGAGAAAGCTAACCGAATTTCCTAACTTTGAGATAATTAATATATAGTATTATCTTGCTCCAATGTAGTTGATTTTACCTATTTAATATTTCCCTAGGCTTTGTGTTTCTCTAGGATATCTCTCAAGAACAAAGCTATAAACATGTAAGAATGTACCTCTAGCCATATCAGCTAGAGAGAGCCAAGGCTAAAAGCCAGGCGTGAAAAACAATTTCAAGATAAAGATTAGATGTCACTATTGTTACTAAGAAAATGAGATTTACTGAAATAATCGTTTACAAAGAGACACCTGGTATACTTAGATAGCAGAGTTTCATATTGGAATAGTTTTTGAAAAGGGAATCCCAGAAAATGTCTATAAAAATACAAGATTAAAACTTTAAATATATTGAAAGATACAAATTGCTGCCTTAAGATGTTATTTAGGCTACCGTCAAAGGTAGTAATTTATCTTTTATGATTTGCCAGACATCATTTCTTGCTAACCATCCCCTTAACATGTGAAAACCTTCCATTTCTACCACCGCTCTGTATGTCTTCCTAAATCTTGAGGTCAATGTTTTAATGGATCTGCTTTTGCTCCCCCTCTTTGGCATCTGATCCACAAACTACCTAGCAATTAGAAATAATGGCTAACATTCTGACTCTAATTTCTTGTCTAAAATACCACCTAGTGACGTCCGTCCCATGTTATAAAGAACATCATGGAGGAGTATGTGGCATGGTAGTCTTAAAAGTACTCTTCGTCTTAGGTTTCTCTCTCTTTCCATCTACTTGAGAGTTGGAGATTCACTTGCTGAGGCTTTGCTGTAAAGCAGCTCTAGTCACACTACGTTCATGCCTGTTAACAAGACCATTCTTACACGAAGTGAATCTTCCTGGCATTTAGCATTATAAAACACAGAAAGTGGTAGTGTTATTACTGTAAACTAGGATATCAGATTGAACATTAAAAAAAACATTTAAAAGTTTTGAAATAGTTGAAAATCTTCTTTGGAATAAACTCAAGGACACAGTCACAGGAGATTCTAAATTTTGTTTCGAAGGAAGGTACCTACTTACTAGAAGTATCTAGACTTAGTGATGTGAACTGTGGTTAAGACCTAGACCCAGTTATACAACAGTAGTCTGGAGCTTCTGAAACTGGAGTGTTGAGAAAACCCAGAGACAATAGTTTCAGTAATCAGAGTACTAGACCAGCTTTTATTTGCAATTTGTTCAGCAGAGATTTTATTTTGATACAAATATGAAGCATAAAACAGTAAGTTTTATATAATTCTATGAGTTCATTAAACAATCTTAGGGAAGTTTCCTTATGTTCTTGGGGAGTCGTTTTATTCTACACCTCTGATAGGAGGTCTCTTCTGTATTTGTTTGTTTGTTTACTAGCATGTGACTGCCTGCCTTAGAGCTATGAATAGGAGGGGAAACCAATATTACTTTTAAAAAAGATTTGATTTCTTGAAATTTGGTCATGAATACTTCTTTGGGTGTTTGAGGAGGAAGGGGGAAGGGGTGACAAGTCACATAGATTGCAATACAGAGTGGAAGTCACACGGTAGTGTCTGTTTACAAATTGTTCCTGTTTTAAGGCTTTATAATTGTGAGCAGGATAGGCCTCTCAAACTTGAGGCAGCATCAGAATTTCCTGGAGGTCCTGTTAAGATGCAACTTGCTGGCCCCTGCCCCTGGGTTTCAGGCTCCAGTGTGGGAATGGAACCTTTGCATTTGCAGTGAGTTCCCAGGCTGTGCTGGGAGCCTCTGGGTCTGGAGAAGGTCTGAAGGTTGTTTATTTTCTGGGTGTAAAACCCTGCTTTCCTAGATATTTTTGTAATGCTGATGCTGTGAGTGGACTATTCATGGAGAAAGTCTGGGAGAAAGGCCTCTGAAGTGTGAGGCGCCCCTTGAATTGACTGCCACCCCTTCAGGGTCTGGACCACTTCCACATTAGGGTACACGAGCACTTTCATTTCTAGGGTGTTTGGTTTTGTGGGTGCTGGTGCTTGGGCTTTGGTCTGGAAGCTGTGTGTGCGTTTGGTGTGCTAACAGTCCATCTTAATTACCCAGCGCGTGGAGAGAGAGTCGTGGAAGGAAGCCATCGATGTCATGAGAATGCACTTTGCATTTCTCAAGGCGCTAAATATAGGAGACCCTGTGCTAAGATAGCAGTTGACACGGAGCATTGAGCTTAACAGATAATCCCCAAATAATGTATTTGTAGTTTTTATGTTGTTGTTTTTTTTTGGGGGGGAGGGGCGATCAGGGTGGTGGCATAGGGTTTGTTTTTCAAATTATGTATTTCTCAGGTTAAAGTTATTTTGGATTCTCTGCCATGCCAGCAGGTATTCGAGGAGCCTGAAGTGTTGTAAATGGCAGAAGATTGATAATGTCTCTGATTGCTACCTTAAAAAAATGTTCGCGAAACAGTCTAGGGGAATTTACCACCTATGCAGCATGAGTTATTCATAAACCATAGGTGCACATGTATGAGCAAGTTATTTTTGAGAAAGAAACTGCCTATAATAAACCTGACAGGTCTTCGGATATTTTAAAATGTGTATGTTTTTGTCACTGTTGTTAATGTTCCCCCGGCCTGCGGCTGGAAGTGGGGATGGGGCTCTGCCTGTGGCTTTTAGTTCCGCTTTGAATTTACTGAGATACTAGAAAGAGAAAAAGATATTTTAAAGGTAATAGGTTATAGAATGACTTAGAGGTAGAAGTACACACGATAAGCAATCATAGAACAC